CCCCCCGGTAACGTCGTGCCGTCAGGGCCTTCGGGGCTCCCCCAGCACGTGCCCAAAGCCTTGGAGGAAGATTTATTGCTTTGCTTGCTCACTTATTTATTTATTTATCGTAGTTATATAGCCGCCCGTCTCACACAAGGTGACTCTGGGCGGCGTACAACAATTGCAAAGAATACATACACAGAAACAACTGCGGTTACAAATAAAAAACTCTGGGAAAGGTTCCCGAGCAATCCGAGCGCCTCTCAGGGCTTCTTCAAGGGCTTTCTGCGTCTGCATTTGGCGTCCGGCTGACGCGCTGGAGGAATTGCTCAGTTCCTTATCAGGAGGGGGCCGGAGGGGCACGGGAACCGAGAGCCAGAACGGGGTCTGAGAACCGTTTGCCTGGACCCGGCGAGAAACGCAGGCGCCTTGCGGAAGATTCATGAAATCTGTTTAGTAAGAGGTCACTGGGGAGTGTTTTAAAACGATGACCTGTTCAGGATGATGAACGTGCTCAGCGCAGCTCCTGATGGGTCACCTGCTCCAACCCCCGCTTGATCCAGGGATCCTTTAAATCAGTGTCTGTCTCTCAGCCTCAGCGACTTGAAGGTGCGTGGACTTCAACTCCCAGAATTCCCCAACCAGCATGCTTTAAGAAGGGTGGACTTCAACTCCCATATTCCCCAGCCAGCATGCTTTACAGTGCGTGGACTTCAGCTCCCAGAATCCCCCAGCCAGCATGCTTTAAGATCAGTGGGCTTCAACTCCCAGAATTCCCGAGCCAGCATTCTTTAAGATCAGTGGACTTCAACTCCCAGAATTCCCCAGCCAGCATGCTTTAAGAAGGGTGGACTTCAACTCCCAGAATCCGCCAGCCAGCATGCTTTAAGAAGGGTGGACTTCAACTCCCATATTCCCCAGCCAGCATGCTTTACGGAGCGTGGACTTCAACTCCCAGAATCCCCCAGCCAGCATGCTTTAAGATCAGTGGACTTCAACTCCCATATTCCCCAGCCAGCATGCTTTACGGTGCGTGGACTTCAACTCCCAGAATCCCCCAGCCAGCATGCTTTAAGATCAGTGGGCTTCAACTCCCAGAATTCCCGAGCCAGCATTCT